ATTGTGGTGGTACATGGAATAATTGGCATCTCGTTTTGGTAGATGGAATATGGTGTTATTACTGCTCGGTAGTAGCATGACACCTACGTATTTGACATCCACTTATTTGCTTTAACTCTTGCACTGTTGTTGACTGTAACACTGATACACTGAGTTGTAGTAGGGAGTTTTCTTTTCGTGAGCCCGAAGTGTCAAAATTAGAAGAAAGAAAAAAGGATTGCACTAGCAAGAAGGGGGATACAAATAGCAAACCCTAGAAGGGTTGTACTCGCTATAGAGCACCCCACTACAGGCTAGAGCATAAGATAACATTCTGACACACCCCCATAGCCAAAGTGGGGTGTAATCAGCAGAGCAAGCAAGCCAGTACAAACTCAGGGTGGATCACAATGTCACCACACATTCTGAGCACAAGTTCAAGAAGCAAGAGTTTCAAGTTCACAATTATGAGCAAAGCTAGTGGTAGTCACAACGGGCAAGTGAGGAGGAGGAGGAGAGAGAGTGAGAGGAGAGAAGATAGGAGGCGACGGCTGAAGCTGCAGACACACGGGCAACAGGAGGCAGACTGGCACAGCGGCTACCGGGCGAAGCCCCCGGACTACTGGAGTAACTGGCCCCGCGGCTAAAGTAGCGGCAGACGAGCAACGGACCCACGCGCGGCTGGCACAGCTGGCTACGACTGGGCTACCGGGCGAAGCCCCCGGAATAAAGGTGCTGCTGACGACACGACGGCAACCTCCATGCAGCTTCCCTAACTATCCAACTCCCCCTGGCACACACCCGCTGCTACACCACTAGCTCCACTCCCACGCACCCCCCTTAAACCTTAAACCCCAGTCTCCCACACATCCACCCCCCTCAGCGACAGCTGCAGCAGTGGGAGACGAAGGAGGAGGAGGAGCAAAGGGAGGAAGGCACAACTGCCACCCCCATACCCGCCACCCCCTACTCGCCACCCCCTAGGTCCGGCCCCCGAAGGAGCCGCGACGGGCGACGGGAAAAGGGGGGGGGGGGGGGGGGTGGTGCACGTGCCGTAGGTAGGGCGACGGGTTCGGGCCTGTAGGGCAGCGGGACGACGGGGCCGTAGGTAGGGCGGCGGGGCCGAGGCCAGGGCCGCAGGTAGGGTCGCCCGAGCCGCGCGCAGGGGGCCTGAGCCGCGCGCGGGCCTGGCGACGCCCGTACGGGTCGCGCGCGGGCCTGGCGCAGCCCGTACGGGTGGTGCGCGGGCCTGGCGCAGCCCGTACGGGCCGCGGACGGGTCGGGCGTGGCCCGTACGTGCCGCGCGCAGGCCACGACGGGCGACGGGGGGCGACGAACGGGTCCCCGTCGCCCGTCGCGGCGCCGCCCAAGGGCGACGCGCCGGTCGACGGGGCAGAAGCCCGCCGCGCGCCTCGGGGCGCACAGCGGGCAGAGAACCGCCGCGCGCCTCGGGGCGCACGGCGGGCAGAAAACCGCCGCGCGCCTCGGGGCGCACGGCGGGAAGAAAAATGCCGCACGCCACGGGGCGTGCGGCTCAGAGGGTGGTTGCAGTAATAGCAACGGAAGCGAGAAGGTGGTAAGCCCACCCACAGGATCGATCCAAGGGGACCGACCTGCTCTGATAGCATGTCAAAATTAGAAGAAAGAAAAAAGGATTGCACTAGCAAGAAGGGGGATACAAATAGCAAACCCTAGAAGGGTTGTACTCGTTATAGAGCACCCCACTACAGGCTAGAGCATAAGATAACATTCTGACACAAAGCTCACAGGACACCGTTTGATTTGTGCTAGCTTTGCAAGTCTTTTGCTGCCCCGCACACTGGAGGCGCCTCAAATAGTTGTGAACCTTGAAATTCTGTTGTTGCCCTGCGCACCAACTAATCCACTTACCGTCAGCCCTCGGATAGAAGCGCCCCTGTGCTTATAATAAAACACTGTTTTTTAGGGGGTGCGCTTATAATTGAGGAATTTTATAAGCACCGGCGACTATAAAATGTCAAAATTGAAATGGTTTTTTTTTACATGTATTTGAAGCCTTTTCAAACGGGGATTCAATCCACATCTAGAACGTTCGAGTTTGTGCATGAAACGCGCGTCAAATTGCCAACAAGGCGTGGAATCACGCCCGCCACGCCTTGCTCGCCTGGCCAGATTCATCGTACCGAATCTGGCCCATGCCAATGCACACGCAGTTTAGTGTGCGACTGCCCAATCAGGGCCGACTGTCGAGCTAGCCACGACGCAGTAAAACCACAAACGGGGCATATGCGGCAAGATTCCTTGCCAACAATGCTTGGACCTCACCACATCAGCTCCTCTGCGGGGAGATCTTGACTGTTTCTCCCCTTAGCCTGCAGAGGAACCTGGGCCGCGAAGTTGGAGGGGTCTCGGGCAAGGGTTTCAAACATGCGTCATTCTCCCTGTTTTCTTCAGATTTCTTGTTTCCCATCGGCCTGCCTTAGCTACGGCGGGCCGACCAGGCACCCATTTCCTCTTTAATCGCCGAGGTGCTGCTGACAAAGCTCCTGATTACTCCAAGTGGTAGAGTCGTCCAGCGCCAATACCTCTTGCTCCTCCTGCGCCTCCTGCACCTCCAGCGCCTCCTGCTCCTCCCGCTCCGCCTATCGTCGTCATCAATGGTGTGCCCATTCTGCAGCTTCTCCCTCGCGGCTACTCTGCTTTCGATGCGTACATCTCCGAGCCCGAGCACGAGCCCGAGCGCAGCGACGGAGATGAAACCGGTCCCGGTCTTTCGCCACGTTGGGGAGACCCGGAAGACTGCCCGCACGACGAATCCGCCACCGATGCCGAAGACGATGTTGAGTGGTGGGCGGCCGACGGTCTTCCCGAGGACTTGCCTGTCCCAAGTTTTCCCCTGCCCAATAAAAAAAGGCCCCACCCCTGCACCCAGAATCGTGATTCCCGCCCCCCGTCTCCCAGGAACAGGCACTCAAGGCACAAGCGGCACTCCTATACTTCCAAGGAGAAGCTGCACTGGATTTCACATCTGGAGTCCGGTGCTGTGAGTATGCGGCAGATGGCACGCGACTCTGGTATCTCCCGAAAGTCCCTGGCAGTATGGAAATCGCGGAAGGGTGATCTGGAGGGCGCGCATGGGGCTCGCAAGCGTCTTCACGGGCGTGGTCGGTCGTCGTGGTATCGCGACATGGAGATCCAGGTCTACTCACGAGTACTTGCCGCCCGAAAAAAGTGCCTCGCAGTGTCGGTCGGCCGCCTGCAGCAGTGGTCGCGAGAGGTGATGAAGAGCCTGCATCCTGAGGTAAAGTGGGCGGGATCTCAGAGGTGGACCGAGCGTTTTTGGCGCCGTTGGAATCTCACTACCCGAGCGAAGACCCGTGTCGGCCAGAAACTATCCTCCGGTGAGTGGGCGTGTTGTATTCGCTCTTGTTTATCCCCTTTGCCAACTGGTCGATGTGGTAATGTTTTTTTATGGTTTCTGCCTCCCCGTCCCTTCCAGAGTGCGAGACGCAAGTGCGAAACTTCTGGAAGTTCGTGCGACACACCCGCCGACAGTACGGAATCGACAACCGCTGGATCATTAATGCGGATCAGACCCCGCTCTGGCTCAAAATGCCAGCTAAACGCACTGTCGAGGAGGTGGGGGTCCGCTCCGTTCCCATCCGCAGCGGCGGCTATCAAAAGGAACGCGTGACGGTGATGCTCGCCTGCACCGCCAGCGGCGAGAAGCTCAAGCCCTGGGTGTTCTTTAAGCGCAAGACAGTTCCAAAGGGGAATTTCCCCTCCGGTAAGCCGAGCAGCTTGTGCAGTCCCGGTAGGATTTGCATGTGTTGTTTTTTTTTTACTGATGTCAATCTCAACGTTGTGCGGATGTGCAGATATCGTGGTCGCCGCACATCCCAACGGTTGGATGGACGCGGAAGGCGTCCTCGAGTGGCTCGACGGTACGGTGGGCCCGTACGTCAACCCGAGGTTCGGAGTGCGCAGCAGGAGGGCGATGTTGGTGCTTGACTCCTACCGCGGGCACCTGACTGATCAAGTGAGGGCGAAATTCGGCGAGCTGCGTATCGTGCCGGCCGTCATACCAGCTGGCTGCACATCGGAGGTGCAGCCGTTGGACGTCGCGGTGAACCGCTCCTTCAAAGCAGCTGTGCGTCAACAGTACCAGGAATGGTTCGAGAGCGAGGGTGTTGACTGCCTGACTGAAAGAGGTGAGCATTAAGATTTAGGAAAGATTTAGGACTGATTGTTTTTCAATGATTGATCCTGTTCTAACTAATGAATCTTTCTACGTGTGGCAGGCAACATCCGCAAGCCACCACCAGAGCTGACGCTCAAGTGGATCTCCAAGGCCTGGAAGGCGGTGCCCAAGGAGTTGATTGAGCGCTCGTTTCTGACCTGCGGCATCAGTAACGCCTTGGACGGGTCTCAGGACGGTCTCTGCCTGCAGCACCGGCGGGACGCCGTCGAAGGCGAAGTGGATCTTGACGACGAGATTGCAGCAGATGGATTCTGCTGCAACAACGTAGACGAGCCAGAGTCGGACGGTGAGACTGCCGACGAAGACACTGCCACTGCTGAGAAGGATGCCTTGGTTGTGTGGGTAAAGTAGAAATGTGTAAGACGTGAAAATGTTGTAGAAAATGTAGAAAATGCGAAAATGTAGTCGGATAGTAGGATATTAACTGTAGGATATTCATTGTAACAGCGTAAAACTTAGGATATTAATTGTAACAACGTAAAACTTAAAAATGTAGTATTTAAAAGGTGGCGCTTATAACGTGTAAGGCTCGAAGCATGCGCTTATAATCGAGGAGCGGATATAAGCGCCCTCATCCTTTTATAAGCGCCGGCGCTTATCCGAGGCCTGCGCTTCTATCCGGGGGCTTACGGTAAGCTCTATGCAGAGAGCATCCAAGAGGGCGAAGTTTTGGCAGAATGCATGTGCCCGATGCCGTCCGTGCCAACCACACATCTCCCGATTGCTGTGCATCGTATTGACACGATAGCTGCACCCCTCATGCTGCCCTCCACCCTTTGGTCTAGTCCACGGTAAGACTAGCATCCAAGGTAGGGAAATCTTTGAAGAAAGCTGTGAAGTGGTTGACCATGTGCCCGATGTCATCTGTGCCACACATCTCCCGAATGCTGTGCATCGACAGTTGCGGCGCACCCACGTCTACAGTGCGAATGCCCGCCCCTGAGGCGAGGATGGGTCCTATGGTGCTGCCACATCCCGTGTCGTTGCGCACCACAAAGTCCTGATGAAGGGAGGGAGGGGGGAGACACGGGAAAGGGAGGTGGCGAGGGTGGGGATGGGAGGGGAGGAAAAGGGCAGTTTCAAGTGGGGCACCAGTGAGGGGTGACGTGTCTTGAGAGGTCAGGGAAATGCTGTTGCCCTTCACAAACTACCAGTACAAAGTCCTGAAGGGGGGAAGGGTGAGGGTGAAGCGGGCAAGAGAGTAAGTGAGGGTAATGGTTCATGCAACGGATTGGACGATTGCATCGTGGGAAGATGACAGGAGCAGCAGCAACATCGATCAAGATTCATGTTGGGAGTAGCAGCAAACTTCTGAGAAAACGATCAAGATTCATGTTGGGAGTAGCAGCAAACTTCTGAGAAAACGCTTAGCAGAAGGATCAAGACTTGTAAAAAATGTTCATCGTGGGAAGATGGCAGGAGCAGCAGCAACATCGACAGCAACAGCAACAGAATCAGAAACAGAAACAGCGGCGCCAGTAATGGCAGCAACTCCGATCGCAAGAGTGACACAGCGAAGGGTAACGCGGCAGGTAAAGTCAACACTTTTCCCTTAGTTGCGAACCCTCAATCCCCAACAACTAAGAAAAAAGCATCGGCCTTTCCTGCCACGTCACCCTTCGCTGCATTACTTTTGCAGTTGGAGTTGCTATCGCTACATTTTTTTTGTAGACGACTAAACATTGAACAATCTTACCCACAACAAGCAACGAGGGACTGCACATGATATCCCCGCCCTTTGAAGGCGCCTAAAGAATCATGGAAAAGCCTGCCTTGCTCTTTTCGAGGCGCCTCAAAAACCATGGGATGCTCCTGCTCACCTGCACGGGAATGCCATGACACGTGGCAACCTCGCGGAAGAGAGCAGCGGTGACAGCAGTGGTGGCGTAGCGCTGGTTGGCGTTGTGCTTGATCACCAACCCCTTGTGCATCTTGGGCTGGTGTAGCTCCTCGTGCTTCTCCTGTTGAATGGAGGGGGGGGGGGGGGATGTGGCAAGGTACGGGTGCAGGTGAATGGAAAATAGCGTTCTGCTTGATCACCAACCCCTTGTGCGTCTTGGGCTGATGTAGCTCCTCGTGCCTCTCCTGCTTGGACGAGGGAGGAGGGGTGGCGGGGGTTGGGGCCATGATGATGCTTTGAGACGTCTCAAAACATCTCTTTTAACACGTGATGATGCAACTCACTCGAGAGAGTGCAAAGACGAGGAAGGCTCATGAGGGCACTGACGAGGAAGGCTCATGATGATACGAAGAGAGAGTGCAAAGACGAGGAAGGCTCATGAGGGCACTGACGACTTTTGAGGCGCCTCAAAACTCGTGTACAAGGAGAGAGTGCAAGACTTTTGAGAATTCTAAAAAATCACTCGCAAAGACGAGGAAGGCTCACGAGGGCACTGACGGGGTAGTCGGGGTGGTGGCAGTGCGGCATGTCTGCTACTACCAGTGACAGAAGAAAAATATTAGAAACGTCTGAAGCGGTTAGGGAGGGAGGCTAAGGAGACAGGCTAGGGAGGGAGGCTAGGGGTGGAGGCTTGGGACACCAGGCTTGGGACGGAGGCTTGGGATAGGGAGGGGAGGGTACTGACGGGGTAGTTGGGGTGGTGGCAGTGCGCCATGTCAGCTGATACCACAAAGCTCTTCTGCAGACATCGCTCCACCACTCCCTGCCATGTGGTGGGGTGGGGTCGGGTGGGGTGGGATGGAGTGGGGTGCAGTGGTATGGGATGGGATGGCATGGGATCGCACGGCATGGAATGGCATGGAGTGTAACGGCAAGGCACAGCCTGGCATGACATGGCATAGCAGTGGCGATGGTGTTGCTGTTTGACAACGAGGAGTGTGAAGGCATAGCAGCAGCAGCAGCAGCAGCAGCTGTAATCTCACCTCTGATGCACCAGCAGCATTGCTAGTGCAGGCAGCATTGACGCGGCGAATGGCGTCGAGCAGCAGAGGGGAGCCGGCACCCTGAGCGGAGTCGCTGCCACACTCTTCGTTGTCAAACAGCAACACCATGCGCACCCCACTCTCCGCCTCCTCGCTCTCACTCTCCCCTGCTGCCAGTAGTGCCTGAAAGGACAAAAAACGGAGGGAGAAATGATGGATTACGGGTAAAATAGCCATCAGGAGTCGCTGCCACACTCCTCGTTGTCAAACAGCAACACCATGCGCACCCCACTCTCCGCCTCCTCGCTCTCGCTTTCCCCCTCCCCTGCCGCTAGCAGTGCCTGCAGGAAAGAGGAGGAAGGAGGGAAGGGAGGGAGGTGGGGTTGATAGGCCATCAAGAGTCACTGCCGCACTCCTCATCGTCAAAGAACAACACCATTCGCACGCCACCCTCCGCCTCCTCACTCTCTGCGTCTCCTGCCGCCAGTAGTGCCTGTAGGGAGGAGGGGATCCAAGGCAGGCAGGCAGGGAGGCAGGTGTCAAGGGCAACCAGCAGCAGCACCATACGCAACCCCACTCTCGGCCTCCTCTGACCTGCGTTCTTCTTCTCCTACTGTCAGCAACGGCTGGTGGGGAACGATTGATGTGTGACGGAGGAGGGTAGAGAAAGCGCAGCAGTGGCAAATAGTGAGTGTGGTGTGGCTTATGATGCAAGCAACGTGCATGCTGTGTCCATGTGGTGGTGCACATACAGTGTGTGTGTGTGACTTAGGGCGTGTAACTTTTTCTCTTTCTGACCGTCCGGACGGCTCACCGTCCGGACTTTTTTAGGGTTACCTGATTCGGCATAATCCGTTTACCAATCAAAAAAACAAAGCGACAATTGACGAACACAGTAACCCTACAAAAGTCTGGACGATGAGCCGTCCGGGCGGTCAGAAATGGAAAAAGTTACACGCCCTTAGGAAGGTGAACAAAACCAATTTGACCACGGACCTGCAGGGCAGCGAAGGAGGAGGCGAGGTTGTCGAGGCGGCCAGAGAAGATGAACTCGTTGAGAGCACCGGCGATGGTGCTGGGGTGAGTGTCGCACAGCTGCAGGTCGAAATCCGCTATGGCTGCTGGCGAGCAGCCCAGCTCCGATGCCAGGAGCTGGAGAAGGGGATGGGGGAGAGGAGAGGTGGAGAGGGGGAAAAGGTTATGCATGCATGCACCAGCAATGGCGCTGGGGTGTGTGTCGCACAGCTGCAGGTCGAATTCGAAATCCGCTATGGCTGCTGGGGAGCAGCCTAGCTCGGACGCCAGGAGCTGGTTGAAGGGGGCATGGGTACGCGTGGGGAGAGGATCAGGAGGAGAAAGGGGGGGAGGACCATGAGAGCAGGATGGGACAGTGATGACGGGAATCGCGCAACAGGTGGTGAAGTGAAAGCTTGTGCATAAGGAGCGAGAATTATGATCATCACAAGGGCTTGAACCCACTCACCTGCAGAAGCAAGGGGTGGTGCCTCTCAGCGGCCTCCTCCTTCTTCCCCTTGCCCTTCTCCTTCGCCTCGCCCTCCTTGGAGCTATTCTCACTCGCAGGGGCTGGTCGGTTCAGCTCCTCCTGTGGCACGCACAGCAGGGCGAATGCAGTAAGGCGCATATGTGAGGCGAGCACTCGGGTGAGGGGAGAATATGCGTGGCGAATAGTTCAAAGGTGCAGTGAAACTGGTGCGACGCGGGTGTGTGTGTGCATGGAGTTTGTTATTTAGGCACCTGCATTTATAGTTCAAATGTGTACAGTGAAGGAGAAGGAGGAGGGGGGGGACGAGGAGAAGGATGAGGAGGAGGAGGAGGAGGAGGATGAGGAGGAGGAGGAGGAGGAGGAGGAGGAGGAGGAGGAGGAGGAGGAGGAGGAGGAGGAGGAGGAGTGGGAGGAGGAGGATTTGGGAGGAAGCACGGACCTTGATGGCAGTGGCGAGCACAGGCAGCAGGTGCGTCTGAGTGTTGGGCTTGAACCCACTCGTGTTCACCTCCCTGTGAGTGAAAGGAACAGGGTAAGTGAGGCAATAGGCACGTGGGAGTTAAGTGGAAGGAAGAGAGGAGCAGCGGAGGAGGAGCAGCAATAGAGCGGACGAAGGTCGACTCTAGGCCCACACAGCCCCTCCAGTCGACTCAATACAGCCCCACCGGGCCTCACCTGTCAAGGTGAATGGCGAGCGTGGGTATGCGCACTATGGGCCGATCTATCTGCACCAACCGATGCTCCAGCCGACACTGCCTTCTTAGTTGACCCAGTCAGAACCCCACACAACCCCTCCAGTCGACTCAAGACAGAGTCAGTCCACCGGGCCTCACCTGTCAAGGTGAATGGCGAGCGTGGGTATGCGCATTATGGGCCGATCTATCTGCACCAGCCGATGCTCCAACCGCACCCGCGCCACCGACTGCGTCTTCCCTCCCTCCCCGCCTCCCTCCCCTGCCCCCCCTTCTCCCCCCTCCTCGCCCTCCACGTGGCGGAGGATGACCCGGCCGGCAATCCCAAGGTCACGGTCGAACCATGTGTGCCACAGGCCCCCTCCGTACGTCTGCACGGCCACGGACAGGAACCCCGCCTTGCTCGCCTTGCTGTTGGGCTTTAACTTGAGGCACGGGCTGTCCGTGTGCGCCCCAATGATCCAGAACGCGTTTCCCGGCTTGAACCTGGGGTGTGTATTTGGGCGAGGAGAGGAGTGGGGAGGAGTGAGGTGGGGTAAGGGAAGTTGCGTCTGCACGGCCTCAGACAGAAACCTCGCCTTGCTGTTGGGCTTTAACTTGAGGCACGGGCTGTCCGTGTGGGCCTCAATGATCTAGAAGGCATTTCCTGGCTTGAACCTAGTGAACCGGGGGTCATGGGGAGGGTGGGTGCAGGAGGGGAGTGGGAGGAGGAGGGTGGAGAGGTAAAAAGAGTTGCTTCTTCGTGATCCTCTGGGCATGGATGGTTGCTTTCAGCTTCAGGCATGCACAGTGGAACAGGTGTGCCACAGTCTCTCCCCACCGTACGGCTTTCAGTCACCCTCGCTCACTTTTTCCCGATAGAGAAGGCCGCGATTGTGGAGTAGTTGCGCGTGAAGAAGTACTTCCCGCCGGGCTCCAGTCGCCACTCTTCGCGTTCCGACAGCTGCTGGTAACCCGCTTTCAACAGCCTCTGGCGACACTCGTCTGCGAAATGATTTGGAGGAAACAATACAGTCAAAACAAATCTGGCGAGACCTCGATGTGGGAGGCACGCACCTACAGCAGGAAAGGCGGTCCAGGAGCGAAATGAACTGAAGGGATTCCGTCATATACTAAGCCTTTTTTTCCTTCTTCTTCTTCTCTCTTCCGTACGATCGCGTACGTACCCACAGCATGGAAGGCGGTCCACGAGCGATTCAGGAACTCGACGAGCTCCGTCGCCGCTGCTGGCGGCGCAGGTGCCGCTGGTGCTGTTGCTTCGGCCGCCATGGTTGAGGGAGTCAGGCGAGGCAAGAAGAATTGCGCGTCTGGGATGGTAATCTCGCTCGACCTGCGCGTCAGTTAAGGTGGCTGAAGACTCACGCTCGGTCACTACCCAGGCACGCAACTAGTTGCTATTGTGCGACTCGTTTCGACCAATGGAGGTCACACAGTCTAATTTTTTCTGAAATGAAAACGGATTCCGAATCTGCTTGGGGTCTGGGGATCATGCTGGTATGTTTGATGCACGGACACTACATTTCGAGTGGGATGAGTATAGAGCTGGAATGGATTATTCGTGATAATATTGAGTTGCTTATTATCGAGGTGATTTTCCCAGGCCTCCAGCTCAGATCATATCTGTGTGACCCATCTTGCGGAGCCCCCAACCTCTCTCACGTTCCCACGTCAGAAATACTGTCGTGGCAAAGGAAGTGCTGGCACGACTTTGCTGGCCTGATATTGTTGTAACACTCCCCTCCCCTACCCCCCACCACATGGCTTGGGGTATGGTGGGGCGGGTGCGCCACACCTACCACCACGAGCCCTGCGAGGCTTTCCCCTGGTCCCCCGCAACCTCCCCAGACTTCTCCCCGCCGCAGCGGAGCATCCCACCTCTCGGCAAATCCCAAGGTCCTTGTAGAAACTCGTTTCTCCTCAAAACCTTACCCAACCATTCATAGCTTTGTATTCGCCATTCGTGAACGTACAATACCTGACAGAACCGTAAGATGAGGAGCTGTTTCTACCACCCGCTAAACGCATCAAGGTTGAAAGCTGGTCCGTTCCAGTTAGTCATTTGTTTCAGATTCTTGAGATTGCAGCCCAGCCTAACATATTTGGCAGGTCAGAGACACTAACCAGCTCCTGTTGGGAAATATCCTATTTCCCTTTCCGCAAGAGAAAAAAAATTCTTGTCCCTCTCGCATTTGCCTCCACTAAATCTGCCAGTAACGATGGCGTCGTCGAGCCTCCTGGTCGCGAGAGCAGCGGTGTCAGCCATCCCATCGAAGCTCGCACCGCTCAAATCCATCGCCGCATCCCGTCCAGCAGTATCAGCCATCCTCCCCAACGCATTTCTCGGAAGATTCGCCGACACTTCTCCCGCCAACCCCCTCCTGAAGCAAACTGCGGCGGCGCCATGCCAAACAGTCGCACCGACGGGTCCGAGTCGGCTGCGGATCGGCAGCACGCAGCTGACGGGGCGGCGCGCGATGGCGAACATGGCGTGGGGAGGCGCGCTGGCGGCCGTGCGACTCATCGTGCAAGGGAAGCACATGGAGGTGCGTGTTGCTCAATTTCCGAGTCAATTGTATGACCGTTCGGCTCATTGTTCAACGGAAGCACATGGGGTTGCGTGCTGTTCGTAAGCGGATGACGCGGATATGCCGAGGATAGGATGGCTTGTGTAATGTGTGTTCGTGAGACGATAAGAATCAGGTTTGCGTTAATGTTTCGAGCATCCGCTCTGCTCTCTTACTGCCTACACAGGATTTTGCGAGGTATCAATGTCCCTCACACACCGTCTGTGTTTCCTGTTCAGTTCAAACACACCCGGCTATCAATGCGCCGCACGCCGTGCGAATCCGCATGAATCGATGCTTATGAAGCGGTGTTCGTGCCATCGAGATGTTCTTCCCTGAATCCGATCCGCAGCTGGCGAGCAGGCGATCTCGAACGGACGGCGATGAGAAGGTCCCCGCACTTCGTGCAACCTCTCATGCCGTCCCATCTTATTTTCCCCTTCCCTTCCCCTCTTCCAACCCCCCCCCCCCCCCCCCCCCCCCCCACCATCCACCTTCCCTCTTCCCCTCCCCTTCCTCGGTAACCCCGTCCGCGTCCCGCGCAGTTGACGGATTCGATCCGCGCGTACGTGGAGGAGAAGGTGGGGCACGCGGTGCAAAACCACAGCGCGCTGTGCCGCGAGGTCGACGTGCGCCTCTCCGTGCGCGGCGGCGACTCCAACACCAAGGGCCCGCGCCAGCAGCGCTGCGAGGTAACGCCCACTCCCCTCCACCTCCTCGTTCTCTTCCTCTCCGTCCCCATGATGTCGAGACGCCGCTCAGTGCCTGCAGGCGCCTGCACGTAGCTCCATTTCCATACCCATCCCTGTTCTTGCTTCCAATCCGTCTACCTCTCCCTGCGTGCTGGTTACCGCTTCTCGCCTCTTTCAGTCGCGTCTGTCGCCATCAGAAGGTTTAGGGTTCCGGTGAGTTAGGAGCAGCTAGGTCTGCAAGACGCCTGCTGCCAGAACCTGTAGCATTTCGTATGCGTCTTATCGTTTTCGTTGTCCGTCGTCGCCTGAGCATTCTCGCCTTCTCTTCCTCGGGTTACCAGGTTACCATCTTCACGAAGAAGCACGGCGTTCTGCGGGCGGAGGAAGAGGCGGAATCCGCGTACGCTGCGATCGACAAGGTGTCGGACGTGGTTTCGCGGAAGCTGCGGAAGATTAAGGAGAAGGACGGCGGGCACGGGCGCACGTGGCAGATGCGGAACGCGCAGAAGCTCGGCGAGATGCTGCCTGAGACACCTGTTGACATCAGCCCCATCTTGAACCGCCAGACCAGCGACCTTCCTGATGAGGTGAGACGGCTTGTAACGCGTACACGTCTGTGTTGGGTTGACAGGTGCGGAACGCGCAGAAGCTGGGCGAGATGCTGTTCGAGACGCCGGTTGACATCAGCCCCATCTTGAACCGCCAGACCAGCGACCTTCCTGACGAGGTGAGCGACAGCTTCTAGCGCGGACTGAGAGAATTCAAGGCTTATAACGCGTACGCGCATGATACGTGCAAAATTTGGGCGACATGCTGGCGGGGAGAAGCCGGATATTGCCGAGCAAGACTGTTTGCAGCCGAGCCGGCACCCTGACCGTTGCCCTCCTGCTGCCCCTCCACCCTCTGTCCCACCTCTCAAGTTCTCAACCCCCTGGTGATGCGCATCGAGTGCGTGAAGGATAGCCGCCATGAGCGCGTACGAGGCATTGGACGTCCAGAGGGAGCTGAGCTGAGAGACACACCGACCCACCATGGAATTCTCTGCCCCCACCTACCGTTGCCCTCCTTCCCTGTCCTCCCCCTCCCTCCCTCCCCTCAGGTGGTGCGCACCAAGTACTTCGAGATGCCCCCCATGAGCACGTACGAGGCGCTGGAGCAGCTGGTGAAAGCTGAGCCGAGCTGAGCTGACTCAAGAGACACTCCTACCCACTGTTTACCTCTCGTTTTCCTCTACTGCTTCCCTGCCTACCCTCCCCCCAGGTGGTGCGCACCAAGTACTTCGAGATGGCCCCCATGAGCACGTACGAGGCGCTGGAGCAGCTGGTGAACGTGGACCACGACTTCTACGCCTTCCGCAACGGGGATTCCGGTGAGTGCTGCCGCGGGGAATGGTTGATGGTCAATGGCACAAGGGGGAGGGAGGGGCGGGTGAGTGGGTGGCAGGAGGAGCGCAGAAGCTGGTGACCGTGGACCATTACTTCTATCCGTTCCGCAACGGCGACTCAGGTGAGTGGCGGGGGGGGAAGGGCGGGATGGGGGAAGATGAACGGCGCACATAGTAAGGGGGAGGGGCGGGTGGGTAGCAAGAGGCGCTCGAGCAGCTGGTGAACGTGGGCCATGACGAGTCGGGTGAGTGGCGCGTCGGGGGTAAGGGGTGCATGATGATTGGAGGAGGGGCACGAAGAGCGGAGGAGGGTATGCCGTTGACTAGGCCGGGGCAGCGGGTGAATGTGGATGTTGGTTTGTACGCCTTGTGCAATGGGGAGTTTGGGTGAATGGCAGAGTGGGGGGAGGAAGGAGAGGGTGGGGGGGAGTGTGTGGATGGCACGGGGAAGGAGTGGTGGCATGGGGGCGTGTGCAGCGGATGACAGGTTTGGCTTGGTGGTAGCAGCTTGCCAATGCAGAGCATGGCGTGTATGTCTTCAGGAGCAGAGAGTCGATGATTAATGACACAGGAAGGAGTGCGTTTTATCACCAAGTGCAGGGATTGGTCTGTGAGATGAGGTACACAAGATTTGACCAGGAAAGCTGCCTTCACTTGATTTGACCAGGAAATATCAGTGTGGTGGTTTAGTGCTTACAATATGCCTTGCTCGTTTCCTTACCTACACCCGCTATCTGTCTGTCCTCTTTCCATTTCCCTTTCAGGCGAGATCAACATTCTGTACAAGAGGAAGCACGGCGGCTATGGTGTCATTATTCCACGGACAGAGGAGGTTGCCACGAAGTCGTCGTAAGGCCGAATGGTTCGAAGTCATTAGTTCAGAGAAAGATTTGTAGCTGGAAATAGGTTCCTACTTTTGACATACAAATTGGTGCTTTAATGTTCAAACCATGAGTATACATGAACATATACTCAAGCTTATCTCTTATCACCAGTTGAGTTTGTCTGTAGGACCTGAGAATTAATATGGAAAGCAGTGAGTACTTAGTGCCTGGAAACCTAATCATATAAAGCCTAAAGCATTGCAGGAATGCCTACATTCACAGTTGTAACAGGAGTACGACTAGTGTGGCAATGCCCGGTATAGTCCTATTGAATGGAGGCCCAAGATTCGGTCATTCTCTCCGGTACTCAGATTTTGCCTGAGCGCTTTCTCTGGTGTAATCACCAACAGGATCACGGTTTCTCGATATAGTAGGAAGCCTGTCTGGATCATATTTGTATATAGTCACTCGATAGAAATAATTCCAGCGCTTGCGAAAAAATATAAAACCCGTAGCGAACCTAGATGATTTCTGGGAAGGATCAACCCTAAATACCACAAGCCGCCCAATATTTTGGAAACATATTGCAACCCACTTGACAAAAAAAAATATAACCCTATCGGAAAGGGATGCGACTCGGAGGCATCAGCCCTAAAAACAATGCCTATTCCCGTATTTAGGGTTGACCCCTCTTGAAAATGCATCCAGATTCCCTAGGGGTTTTATTGTTTTCTGCCATGCCCGAATAGTTCTCGGTAGCGTCGTCTAGTGCTTTCGGTAGTGTTGTTTGGCGGTCGGTTGCGCTTCCGAGCACTACCAAGTGAATTATATGGGCTTCATTCTCTTACTACCTAAATTTCCGTACTTATATCCAAGTCGGGAGGGTAAACTGGATGGTTCTGTTTTTGTCACTTCCTAATGAGTTAGACCAGTGTGAGAAATGTGACTATAGAAGCATTGACCAATCAACGTTGAAAAAGTCCAGGTTGATTACACCTGAGAACGCGCTCAGGCAAAATTTGAGTATAGGAGATAATGGCCGCCCAATATTTATGACTCGGCCAACACGTCAGCAGATGCAGTCCTTCCTTCTCTCGTCCACGTGCCGGCACGTCAGCGCTTCGTCGCTGAGAAAGCTCACCTCCAATTCCGTTCGACCAAGTGTCGGCCTGACAATGCAGTCTCCTCGTCATCAAAATCTCGGAAGCCTTCGCGGGGTCCTTCGTCACTCGCCCAATCGCACTCTACAATCAGAGTAACACGCATCACGAAAAGTTCGTGAGAACTCGCAATGACACTCTCGTGGTGCTTGTTTCCCCTCCACATCCAGCCCCTAGATCCCATCCCCCTCACACTACCATTCCTAGTCCAGGGAGCCATTTCCATGGTCCAGCCAATCAGAACATAAATTGCTGTCCAGGATCCTTTCATTATTGACTCTTTCTGTCCGATTTCGTACGCACAAGAATTGCTCGTTCGTGTGCCTTATTCACTCCACCCCCCCCCGCAGTCAAGAGTCCCCACGGTTGGTCATCAGTCATGGCGGAGCTCACTTGCCTCTCCCATTCGTCCCCGCTCGCTCTTCGCCTTCGCACCGCTGCCACCCCCTCATCGCACTCGCCTCTGCGACGAGCCACACCTAAGCCATTCGTCGCAGCCTCGGCGAGCAATCAAGATGCTGCACCGTCGGCTCTTCCCGCCGTGATTCCCGCTACAGCCGTGACACCAGTCACCCGTCGCGCGGTTGTAGCGCTCCCGGCCATGGCTGCTCTCGCCGCCTCCCTCGCCGCCGACCCAGCGAATGCGATCATTCCCACCACCGCCGTCGCCGGCCGCGTTCCAGGGCTATCCGAACCCGACGAAAACGGTAACACCATTTTCTTCCTTACTTCACATGTCTTCTCCAGATTTACTCATCAAAACTTCTGATTAAGTAATGCGTAGTGATGCCTCCCTCTGTGTCTTTCCTCGGCGTTACAAGAAATCGTAGAGGCGCTACTTTACGGCCCCGTGTGTTCCGTCACTCAGTCCGACCGTTTCTGTGTGCATGTGTGGCGTGGCGTGACAGGCTGGCGCACGTACAAGCGGCCGGCGAGCAAGTCCGGCGGGCACGGCGTGGGGTGGAGCGAGCTCATCCCGTACAGCTTCACCGTGCCCGACACCTGGGAGGAGGTACGCGCATTGTGGGAGAAATACGCGTTATAGCTTGTCTAGTCATCACTTTGAGGCTCCGGAGTCCGTGCAGCTTCATGGTGCTCGACACCTGGGAGTAGGCGCGCCTGAAGCAAATGAAATTATATCGAATCAAATTGAACTGTTTCGGTTTCAACACCACAACGAGAAACATGGCGTGAAATTTGGCGCAACTTCTCTTGAAGATATTTTTTCGGGTCATCTGTCGTGGGAGCAATCTCGACCGTCGTAATGTGCATCACCGCTAGTGCTATCAGTGCGCGTGTTATTGGATTTACAAGCAGCGGTTCGCTGCACAGTTGCGCATTTCGCCCTCTTTCCAATCGCTCCCAACCGTTCTCAATCATTCCCAACTGCTCACACCAGACGCCCGTGTCGATCGCGGATCTGGGCGGCACGGAGATCGACCTGCGGTTCGCGAGCAAGCAGCAGGGCAAGCTGTTCATCGTCGTCGCGCCCGTGCTGCGATTCGCCGACGGGCTGGGCGACGACGTGCGAATCGAGAGCGTGGGCGACCCGGAGCGCGTGATCACGGCGTTCGGCCCGGAAATCACGGGCGAGAACGTGGAGGGGCGCGTGAACGACACGAAGGTGGTTTCTAAGGGCGGGCGGACGTACTACGAGTATGACGTGGACCCGCACATCCTCGTGTCCGCCACTGCTGCTGGCAACCGCATGTACATCATGGGCATCGCTGCTTCTGGTGAGTGCTAAGAGAGTTCTGTGAGTCCGAGGGGGCTTAGATTTACCCGCACATCAGAAGTCTGCTGCTGGCAACCGCATGTAAATCATGGGCGTCGCTGCTTCTGGTGAGTGCTGTGAGAGACTTGCAGTGTCAGCGGGGTGTTTTTGGCTTGAAGGGGACATGGTTCAGTCTCGTCTCGAGACTGCACTGCTGCTGGCAACCGCATGCACTAAAGGGGACTTTGATTCACCTGCATCTCTGAAAACTCTACCGGAACTGGCAACTGGGTGAACTTCATGTGCATTGCTGCGTTGGGTGAGTGAGTACTGTAAGGATGTGGAGTATTTGTTCATGAGTGGTTTGGAGATGTAGGTGGTTCTCAGTCAGAGGGATGCTATTAGGGGTGCAATCGCATGTACATCACAGTCGTCGCCGAGTCTGGTGAGTTACAGGCATACTGTGTCATTTTTTTTGTCCGTGGTAACTGTATCTGTATGTGTGTTTTTCTAGTGGTTGGAAATCGAATGTACATCATCGATGGCCATCGCTGCGTCTGGTGAGTGGCCTGTTGCTGTGTCTGGTGTCTGTGCCAATGGTAACCAGATGTGCCTTTGTGAGCCACCTCAAGAGAGTGTGTACTTGGCAGTGGCATGTGCATCATGTGCAATAGAAGACGTACTCAACCCAAGTCACCTCCAGCAGAAGCTCTCCTCACCATTTTCTCAACACTCTTTATCAGTCCTCTCCTCTCCACCTCCTCTCAACCCCCTTATTAACCCTTTCCTTCTCACCCTCTTTCCCACCCTCACCTCTTCGCACCAGGCCGGCAATGGAGGAAGGTTGAGTGATATAAAGCAGACCCTCCTCCCCTTGGCGTACGCACAATGCTTCAACCCTGCCTTCCACTCTCTCTTCCCACCCCCCTCTCATCTCTGCTCTGCATCAGGTCGGCAATGGAAGAAGTACTCGAGTGACATCAAGCAGATCCTCTCCTCCTTCCGCGTTGGATAAACAAGAAGCGAGTGTAATGCAGCATCTGAATAAACTAAAATTGCATAACTAGTTCATGGGCGAAGGAATGACCCTGCATCACTGATACAGGGTACTGTTTGCATAGACAAATAGAAACTTCTCCTTCATGTGCCGTGTTTTTGTAAGGCTTGTTGATATGCGTTTGACCGGTTGTTCCTTCTTAGTAAGGAGGTGCATGCTTTGCTATACTTCGTATGTGCTAAATGAAATTGTGTTGATTCAATATGTGTTGCGGATAACTGTTCACTTGATCATAGCTCCAAACAAGCACCAAAACAATAGTTTAAGTAGCTCTTGCGGGGTTACTACTAGGCAACCCGCGCTTTCTAGGGAGCAACAGTGCCAGCTGGGGGCACTATCCACCCCTCCGTGCCTTAGACAGGATAATTATAGAAACAACACAAACTCTTCCCCACATTCACCCACGTGTCACAAATTTGGAAAGCTATAGAACGCACGGCAAACAAAAAAAAAACCCCTAGGGAACCTGAACTCATTTTCGGGAGGGATGAACCCTTAACATTGGAACCCACATTTTTTTTAGGCTTGATGCCTCCCCGAGACGCATCCCTTCCCGATTGGGTTTTAGTTCTTTTCGGTCAGGTAAAGGGATATTTTTTCCGGTGGCTTGCGAAATTTGTGACATGTGGGTGAATGTGGGACCGAGTTCTGCGTTGTTGCCATAATGTTCCTGTCGGAGTGGCGGAAAGTGCCCGCATATAGCACTGTAGTCCCCTTGAAAGCGCAGGGTCGCTAGTAGTACCCCTGCGAAAGCTACTTACCCAAAACAATACACATACTGTATCGTCACTGTAGCCAATGTTTACAAGCTTCTTCGATGCGGAGGGTCGATTTCTGAAGACGCCTTCGTGACAGTCATCATCGGCGGCCTCGGTCCTCAATGGCGCGCCACAAAGGCCATTCTCCGAGCTCACGGAAGAATCTCCGAAGCAGCGCTCTGCGCCGAAATCCACGCCGAGCAGCAAGACATGGACCTGCAAGAAGAACAACACAAAAAGAAGACATAAGCACCGGAATTCCCGTTCCACACTCAGCGACGCTACAACAACAACAACAACCGGCAGCAACAACCGAAGCCTGTACCTCCGTTCTGCCACATCTGCAAAACTTCAGGACACCCGCGTACGCACTGCCCGAATCGTCAACAGTCAACAACTCCACAGCGGCAACTTCGACCTTCAAGCAGCCAAATCGCCTCAACACAAGCAAATCCCACGACTCAGATTCAAGCCTCAACGACCTCAACAGGACAACCTGCACAAGGAGCAAGAAACATCGTCAGCTGCATGGCAAAGCTGAGTGACTCCTACATCACCGAGTCACCACCACACTACTCACCGGAAGAACAACTCGACGAAACCACACCCCGCCGCGAGTCACTTCAGCCGAACCCGACATACGCCGCCATCGCCCAAAGCGAACCATCCGGAAGGGACACATGGTTCCTGGACAGTTGCTGCGGATAGCACATGTGCTCCTCGGGACGCTTCGTTCAACGAGAACACCAACTTCAACGCGAAGTTGTCATTACAGTCGCCAATAATCAGAACCCGCGAACACGACGACAAGGCGTAGTTCAACTTCAGTCAAGGGAAACAAACGTTATACTGCAGATGTCAAAAGTACTAATCGCGGAGGGACTCGGCTACAACTTACTGAGCGTCAGTCAACTAATGGCGAAAGGGATTCACCTCGAAGCAGACAGCACCACCCATGAATTCAATCTATATCACGGGAGAGGAGGACTCTACATCGTCAAGGCGGTCCTCTAGAACAACGTCTTCGTTCTTGACTTCGTTCCTGACCTTGGCACCGCCGACAGCGACGCCATCGTTAACTTCACCAACTGGACACACCCTCCTGATCTTGATCCAGACTTCAGTCCAGAAGGCTTCTGGTATTCACACACCATCCCCGAAGCAGAAAGAACAAGGGCGTTAGCAACAATTCAGACAACATCAGCAGCAGCAGAGAAAACATCAGCAGCAGCAGAGACAACATCGGCAGCAGCAGAGACAACGTCGGCAGCAACAACATCAGCAGTAGCAGAACAATCAACGGCAGCAGCAGGAACGTCAACACCAATGGCTGGTCCTTCAACGACACCGCTCCTCATCGACGACACACCACCGACACCCGCGCAACAACTACACCCAGCACCTGTGGGATCTTCGTCTTCTTGCAGATTGGCAAGGTATGTCTGGAGCGTGAGTCGTTCGTAGAAAATTACATCACGTGCTGCTACTGTTTCCTTGGAGTGGACGTCGAAGATTTTCCACGCGTTGTAGTTCTTTTCGATGCCCACGTGTAGTCCCCACTGTGCTCGTTGAGAAAATACAGCACGTATTTTGTTCCTGTCGGAGTGGCGGAGTGGCGGAAAGTGCCCGGGTCCAGCTGTCACCTGGAGTTCATTCTGCGAGACCGCCCAATACAGCACGTGGGATGCGTGGTGCGCAGGGCTTCGGGCGCGCTTCGAGCCGATCGCGGCTTCTATTTCGGCGCGTCAGAGATTGCGCACTTGGTAGCAGCTCGGGTCGGTCCAAGACAATACGAGTGGTTTTCTCACATTATGCGAGCAAGTCGGCTACATGCACGAAGCGGAGCGGGTGGACCGTTACGTCGGAGGGCTGAAGCCGGACATCTCGCACGAAATCATGCTACGCGGGCTCTCGAACTTCAACGAGATTCTCGCGCTCGCCGAGAAAATCGACATTTTACGCCGTCCGAGACCGGGGTCCTACTACGGACATAGTCCTCGGGGACCAATCGAGCACGCCACTGTACACGCCGTTGCGACGAATGCAGCTGCCGCGCCGTTTAAGGGGCGCTGCTTTGCTTGCAATAGGCCGGGCCATCGGAAGAGTGAATGCCCAGAGGAGCTAAGGCGCCGCGGAGCAGAGCAAGGGAGGGAGTCTCCAAGGCAGGGAAACGCTAGCAGTCAGTAGGAATCGGGCCAACTACTGACGAGACTGCCTGCTCGCCCAACCCCACCGACCCTCACCGAGTCACAATACCGATTCATGCTATCGATCGGACTCGGACGAATAAGGAGGGTACAGCGACGGATTGCCCAGTACTGATCCACGGGAAAATACAGGGAGCCGCAGTGAAGGTTTTTATCAACGGAGGAGCAAGCCATAGTTTAGTTAATACCGCAACCGCACGAAAACTGCAACTGACACTTAGCCGTTGTTTACCTGAGATAGACGCACGCTTAGTCGACGGCACGCCACTGGCCATACGGGAAAAGGTGGAGAGAGTCAAAGTCCGCTGCGGGGGGAATTTCGGGTTTACACAGGAAATGCTCGCAACGACACTGGATGGGCACGACATTTTACTGGGACGTGATTGGGTGCGACGGTATAACCCGCGAATTGACTGGACGACGGGTAACTGCACTGTGCGAAGTAGCGGTAACTGGGTTGAGCTACCTCGCTGGCAGACGCCCGAGTCTTCAACGGTACACGTCAACGCCGTCACAATGAAACGGGTTGTCGCTGCTTGAGCTGACGTGTACGTAGTAGACATCGCAGTAGTAGAGGGAGCAGAGCAGCCGAGTGATTTCAAGAAACTGTTGGCAGCAGTACCGCCCGAACTACAGGAACTGTTGAAACGACATCCCGGGATTTTTCTCGACGACTTACCGGAAGGACTGCCACCTCAGCGCGCACATGACCACCGAATAGAAATTGAACCGGGGGCACAGCCAGCTATACAGCGCCAGTTCAGACTGTCACAGCCCGAGCTTGACGAACTAAATTCATCCGACCGAGCTCGTCACCGTTCGCCGCACCGATACTGTTCACACCAAAAAAAGATGGAGGGTTTCACATGTGTATTGATTACCGAGCGCTCAATAGGGTAACAGTCAAGTCGCGGTACCCCATTCACCGCGCCGACGAACTGATAGACCAACTGCGAACTGCACGGGTATTTTCGAAAATAGATTTACAGGGGCGTTACCACCAGATTAGGGTCGAACCATCGGACTGCGCCAAAACAGCTTTCCGGATTAGGTACGGGTCATTCGAGTACACCGTGATGCCTTTCGGGCTGACCAACGCACCGGCGACATTTCAGATGACCATGAACGAGGCGTTTAGGCCGCTTTTAGATAAATGCGTGATAGTTTACCTCGACGACATCCTCGTCTACAGTCGCGACAAGCAGCAGCACTTAGTAGGTCTGGAAGCAGTATTTAAGATTTTAGATGAGCATCGGCTACTAACAAAGGGTTCCATCTCTGCCCTGAAAACTGTTCTCTGTTCACTGCCCGTCCTACGCATCGCTGACCCACAACGCCCATTCGAAATAGTTACTGACGCCAGTGACATCGCCATCGGAGCCGTACTGCTACAGGACTTCGGCAACGGCCTACAACCCATCGCATACGAGTCACGAAAACTGTATCCGCCCAAGAAAAATTACCCGATACACGTCCACGAAATGCTTGCGATCGTGCACGCGTTCAAAGTATGGCGCTGTTACTTGACCGGCGCGGACGTGACAGTACGGACAGACCATAAATCACTATAGTACCTCCGCGCACAGCCACACCTCAACCCACGATAGATTCGTTGGCTCGACTTCCTCGAGTCAAATTTTCACTACATTGTCACCTACAAAAAGGGAGCCTCGAACATCGCCGACGCACTGACCCGCCCCACTGCCCAGATCCATGCAATACTACTTGCCCAGACCAGCCCCCTACTGACAGGCCTTTTCACCCACGGGTACCAAACGGATCCATTCTTCACAGGAGGAAATTTGCAGCAGTTCGCAGCAGCAAGGGGAGTCTATTACGTAAAAGCCGGGACTGATTGCATCTGGGTGCCTGGGTATACACTACTACGGGAATTGCTGTTACAGGAGGCACACGACGGAGTTACCTCGGGGCATTTCGGGGTAGAAAAGACACGGCAGCAGCTGCAGCGGTATTATTACTGGCCCGAAATGTT